GCGTTGAATTTTCGTCGATGTTAAGCCTAACGAAGACTATTGTATCGTTAAAAATTATTTTTTTATTTTGTACAAACAAAATAAATTTATTGAAAAATATAAAAACAATAAAAAATTATACTTCAGATGTTAATTTAGTATCAAAAATGTAAAATATTTGAGTAGCCCGAGAAATAGCCGAAGATTGCAGCGCCACAGCACTAGCAAAAATTTAAATTTGCCGACTGGAATGCTTTCAGATAACCAGCTTTCGGGTAAACGACACTCTACTGTATCTATTTTTTTTTTTTTCAAACAAAGCAAACTACAAAGTTCTAGAGAAAGTTGGGATATTTTACAGCCTTTTATGTACACTGCTGTCTCTTACAGCAAATTTATGGTTAGTCACTTCATGTTTGGAAATTCCCAGTACCTAATTGAAACATCTGTTACTTCCTGATCAACTTTTCTTTGAAATAATAAACTAGAATTGTAGTTTAATATATTTCTATGGGAAATAAATGGAGATATTCGATTGGTGTAATGAAAAATAATAATTCTAGGATAATTTAGTTAATTTAGTGCTTTTTCACTTCTTATTTAGACTTCTAAATCATTAGATTACTGTGTGGGTAACTTCTTTGTATGTGAGAAACTCAAAACATAGTAAAAAAGCTTTTGAACAAATTAGAATTTAATTTGGAACGTAGAGAGACATATTCTTCTGACACCTTCCATCTATTGGATTTGGAGAGCAAAATTGGCAGCACCAAATTATTACAGGAAAGTATTGATTCCAATTCTGGTAGTGTGAGTGTTTCCTCTTGGTCAAAGGTTTGTAGTGTGAAAGGATAATTTAATTTTATGGGAAATGATGGAGTTAAAATTCCAGTCACAGTTCCAAATGATGTTTTAAAAATTTTGAGTGTTTTTCAATGGCAACATCATAAACCAAATATGTAAGGAGACAAATAAATTCACTGAATGACACAGCTGAAAACAGTAATAGTTCATCAGGAATAAGTAGAAAGAGCAGAATGCAAGATTGGAAAAAAACAAGCTCAATGGAAATTTACTTATTAGAAGGTATTTTTCTTTTGGTGGGGATTGTAGCTGAAGCTGAGTTTACATTCCTATTTTTCTAGAAATCCAATAATAAATATACCAACATTTTCTGAAATGATAATGAAAGATTGATTTCTTTTATTACAGTAGAGCGTTGTTTATCTGAATCGATTGGGGACTGGGGTTGTTCAGATAATTTATTTTTTGGATAATCGATTATATACGAAAAAATATATTAACCTATTTCATGTTGAAATTTTTCTCCGTTGCGTGTCGCTTTGCGTTGACTTTTTATCGATGTTAAGCCTAACGAAAACTTTTTAAAATAATAATCGTGGCTATTGTATTATTAAAAAAT